GGGATGCAGGAAAGGTGTGGTTTATGGATGAAATAAGATTGGCCAGAAGCTGAGTACTTGTTGAGGTTGAGTGATGGGTACAGAGGGGTTTATTCTGAGTTCAGTTTACTATTCTCTCTACTTTTCTATACTTTGAACATTTCTGTAATAAAAAGGTAAAAGAAAAAAACTGAAGAGGAAACAAAGAATGTGTAAGACCTACATCTGTGGCTCTCAGCCCGGGGTGGGGGGTGGGAACCTTACACTCCTGGGGGCTGGCCTCTGGCCTTGGTATCTTTCAGAAGTTCCCCAGGGGAATTCTAATGTTGATAACCACTGAACTAGAAGTTCTTTATGGGAGAAATAAAGGAAGACTTGAAGGGAAGTTCCACATTCCTGGATGAGAAAACACTATAACAACGAACTTTTCCAAGTTAATTTATACAATAAAATTTCTCTTCAAAAATTATGATACAGTGTGCTAGAGTTCACCAAAATCTACTTTCCCTCTCTGGGAACAACACACCTCCCGCACCCGACTGAAGTTAAACTTGACCATGTAATGTGCTTTGGCCAATAAATTGTGATCTCTACGGGTAATGCTCCAGATGGGGGCTGCTTGATGAGCCTGGGTGCTTGAGTGAGGATGGTGATGGGACATAGGACACCTCCGGCCAAGCCAGGATGGATTTGTCATGTGAGGAAGACATAAATCTTTGTTTTTAAACCAGTGAGATTTGCGGGTTGTTTCCACAGCATAATTGAGTCCATCTTGACTGGTACAGAAACTCAACACAGAACTTGACAAAATAATTCTAAAGTTCAACTGAAAAAATAAACACACAGAGAGACAAAAGCACACGCTGAAGAAGCAATGGGTCAGGGTGAATCCTATCAGATATTAGGCCATATCACAAAGCAACAGTAATTAAAAATGAATGATATTAGATGTAGAAATAAAAGTCAACAAATATATTTATACTGAAGTATAGAAAGTCCATAAATAGGCCACTAGTAATTACAGGACTAAGTGTGATGAAGATTTTTCAGTTCTAGCTTGTTAACAGTTGAGCTGCCTCACTTTACCAGTGAAAAGTAACAAACATAGGCTTTGCTCTAATGTATCAGGCCACCTTTGTTGAAGGATTGCTCCTTATTCACCAGTCCAGGGAAACATTTATTAAAAACCCATTCTTTTATTTTTTTATTTTTATTTTTTAAAGTTGCAGTATAGTTGATGTATAATATTATATAAATTTAAAATGTATGATATAGAGATTCACAATTTTTAAAGGTTATACTCCATTTATATTTATAAAATATTTGAAAATACTCCATGTTGTACAATATATCCTTGTAGCTTTTTTTTTTTTTCCGGTTGTGCTGCACGGCCTGTGGGTTCTTAGTTCCCCAACCAGGGATTGAACCCTCATCCTTGGACTCCTGGACCACCAGGGAATTCCCCTTTATAGCTTATTTTATACCTAAGGTATAAAATAAGAGGTTTCTACCTCTTAATCCCCTATATTGCCCCTCCCTCATTCCCTCTCGCCACTGGTAACCACTAGTTTCTTCTCTATGTCTGTGAATCTGCTTCTTTTTTGTTATATTCACTAGTTTGTTGTATTTTTTAGATTCCACATATAAGTGATATCATACACTACTTGTCTTTCTCTGTCTGACTTATTTCACTTAGCATGATGCCCTCCAAGTCCACCTGTGTTGTTGCAACTGGCAAAATTTCATTCTTTAAAAACCCATTCTTTTATACTAAAGTCATATCAATAGCACTTAAGGAAGCACTAACACCTTCTCTAAGCTACCAAAGACTTTTTTTTTTTTTTTTTTGGGTACACGGGCCTCTCACTGTTGTGGCCTCTCCCATTGTGGAGCACAGGCTCCGGACGCACAGGCTCAGCGGCCATGGCTCACAGGCCCAGCCACTCCGCTGCATGTGGGATCTTCCCAGACCGGGGCACGAACCCGTGTCTCCTGCATCAGCAGGCGGACTCTCAACCACTGCGCCACCAGGGAAGCCCCCAGAGATGTTTTTGTTTGGATTTCAAGTGCCTTAAGTTCTGGATTTTTGACCTCAGGTCACATTTGTTTGACCTTACTAACCGATGGTTAAACAATGCACCTCAACAGTTAAAAGATGTACTGATAAACAAAAGAACTAAATAGCACAGCTAGAAAACTCATCCATATCTTTAGGTACCTGTCTTTCTGGAAAACTACTAAAATATAATAAACTATAGGAATTTATTTCTAAAATTCTGATGAAACAAATAGTGACAACAACAAAAAAGGAAAGTTAAATTACTATGAAAGATGTGGGTGCTGATCTCACCCTAGATGGACTCACTTCACCCCACGGATTTTCCTTTCACAAATTCTGCTCGCCAGCCCAGGTGTGCCACTCTCTTAAAAGGCAGCTGTAGGGCTGTTTACCCCACAGCCCCCATCTCTCTATTTTTGAGCTCCAACCCCTCCTCACCTTGAGGACCCGGTTCAAATGCTTTATCTGGGAGGACCCTTCCTTCCACGAGTGACTCCTTGCCTACGGAGACAGGCTGGATTCTCCACCCTGCTGCTGCGCGCCCACCAGACGCTCTCAACTGGTGCACTCATCATACTGTATTGTAATTATTATTGATATTCCCATCTTCCCCTGCAGAACACGTCTTATTTATTTATCTGGGCCACACAGAGCACTGCTAATCTCTCACTAGCATTATTGGATCTTCAAGTATTTGAATAAGTCGAACATTTTGTAAGTGGATACTATATGTTAGGCACTCAATTGCCTGCTAAGTTCTTAGTGACCCATATTTAATTGTAAAACTGTAACCCCCACTTTGCAGTTGAAGAACCTGGAACTGAGGTTAAGCAAATTCAAGGTAACACAGCTGGCCAGTGGCAGGGCTGGGGTAGCCTCTCTGTGACCACGTCCCACACTGAGCCGACTCATCTCTGCTCCTTTAGCCACCAGACTCCTCGACTTGTGTGTGAGTGCCCCCCAGTCTAGACTCCTGTCTCTATAGCTCAGCACTCTGAGGGGCGGGGGCCTGGACTGCACAGGCCAGGCTCCTCTCCTAGGATTCTGGAGGCCGGGGCGGCAAGATTCAGGCTCTTTTCTTGGCTCTTCCACTTACGGGCTCTCTCCCTGCCCGAATTACCTAAACTCTCTGTGCTTGAGTCTCTCCATCACAATTTCACTCACCGCCTCATGGGCTGCTGTGGAGATGGAAGAGATCACGTCCATGGGAAACGGCGGTACTGTGCTGGGCACACGTTAAGTGTTCTTGCTGGCATTTCTTGTCTTGTTCGCACTTCGTGCTGTTAGGTAGCACTCCGGTCCCAGGCCCTGCGGCCAAGCCACACTTCCCCATCCTCTACTTGTGCACCCGAATTTGTATATCCAAGTACAGGACCTTATAATTGTTCTCCATTGTTTTCATTTTTGTTAGATACTGCCTGTTTCTGCCTTTTGATCCAAACCTGTCTCTCACTTACTCACTACTCCCCATGTGCCTGTGTTATGTATAAATCTGGAGCTTCACCTGTATCTTCAAGCTACTGACCAAACTGCTGAACAGAAGGGAGGCTATAAAATGGGTGTCTTTAGGTGGGAGTGCACACGGAGGAGCAGTGGGATGGGAGCCCCCAGCCTGGCAAAGAGCAGGTGCCCCCGCTCACGCTTCCTTACCCGCCCTCACACGCCACCAACGGTGGAAAAAACTGGAGCAATATTACTGGAGGACAATCTGACAATATGTACAGACGTGCATAAAAAATGCTGACTCTGAAGTTCTACTCCTGGAAATTTACTCCCAAGAAGACATTAAAGAGAAGAAAAAAGTTTTATGAAAAAATATTTATAGCATCATTATTTAAAATGCTGAAAAACTTTAAATAACCTAAATGGCTACAAAGAAGAATGGTTAAATAAACAATAACAGGGTAATCACAGCAATGTGGCTCTTTAAAAAGATTAAATATAATGACTATGCATCTTTATGTTAGTGAATATAAAGTTATTTAAATTAAGTTACCATAGATATACACACTATGACTGCATCTAAATAAAAAATGTGCACACAGATAAAAGAATGGGAGGATGAAGAAAGAGAAAATTAGTTATGGTGAGATTATAGATGTAATTTTTACTTGTTTCCCATGAAAACACCTTATAATTGATGTGGTTATAAACACCACAAATGTTGGTACATATACAGACACATATTTTAAGTGTTTATTATTTATGTGTGTTCAGTTAATCTGAAGGGAGAGTTAAATAAGATTTAAGAACGAGTGGTCCAAAAAAAAAAAAAAAAAATTCATGTATAATACAGAAAAAAAAAAAAAAATTATTTTAAAAAACGAAAAAAAAAAAAAAATTATTTTAAAAAACGAAAAAAAAAAAAAAAGAATTCATGTATAATACAGAAAAAAAAAAAAATAAAGTCTATTTTATCTGAAAAAAAAAAAAGAACGAGCGGTCCAGAACACAGAGTGTTACCTAACAAAGGACTTCAATGAAACGCAAGAAGCATTTGTCTAAATATGAGATCCAATTTCCGTCCTCAAGCAGCCTAAAACCCACTGAGTTGTTAATGTGCCAGACTCCCTTCCCACTAACACCCACATGCCTCATCACAGCGCTGGCCTGCCACTCACAAGAGTCCTGAGTAATAAGGTCAGGAGGGCATAGTGATGAAGGGCATTAACTTACCAGCAGGGGGCGCTGTGCAAGACCTTCCCCTGTGAGCTTTAGTTTCTGCCTCTGAGGTGGGCTGAGATAGGGGTTGTTCCAGTGCCCAGCTGAGAGGCTGATGTGAGGCATGGCTTCTCAAATGCCCAGTACACGTGGGCTGCTGTTACAATTGTGTGCCCCACCAGCTCTTGCAGATGGGCACAAATTCTAAACTTAGAAAAGTAAGGCAGAAGCAGAAGTAGCAGCACACTTGGAGTGGGAACAGAAATAAGGGGTTGTCCACTTGGCTGTGCCCCAAGCTTACCGTAGGTGAACATGCGTGGCGAGGTCAGTTCAATGTTGGGCAAGGCACCCAGGTGGTTCAGCACGGCACACCGATAGCCATTTTTCTGGGCGTAGTCAACGAAGGTGCGGATGTACTGCTTCTCGCTGTGATTGGCAATTCCAGGGCAGATGACCATGGTAACATCATCTATGTGGTGGAGGAGGAGATTCCGAGATAGCCAATAAATAGTGACATGATAAATGGTCACAACTACACTTCATTGGCTTAGCCAACAGTAGGAGAGAATTTAACATACATCTTGTCACTGATTCCTCTGGGAAAGAATATCTTTCCCTTCTAGCTGGAACTCTCTATAGCAGTGCTTCTCAAATTATTTGTGGTGAAGGGTCAGTTTTTAAAAGTTCCAATCCGTTATGGACAGATGCTTTTGAAAAATAAAATACAATCAAAATTAATTACTAGAAAAATGAAATGAAAAAAATTCAAATCTCAATTTTTTAATTATTAGATTCAATAGATATAAAATTACTCTGTCAAATTCTTATACAAGTTTCCAAGCATTACTCTTAATTTCTATATGAAATTCTGTATGAATGAATGAATGAATGAATGGAAAAATAAAAAGCAGTGTTTGTATAGACCTCTTTGATCCAGCAATTTTACTTTCAGGTATTTATCTTACAGATACACTGTACATACACAAAACAATATATCTACAGTATAGACTGTAATAGCAAAAGACTGAATATAACATAAATGTCCAGAAATAGGGGTCTGCTTAAATAAATTTTTGCATATCCAAACAATGAAATATTATGTAGCCCTTAAAAATAATGAGACATCTTTACATACACTGATATAGCAAGCTCTCTAATATGTACTAAGTGGAAAAAGCAAGGTGCAGAAAAGGGTTATGATATGCTGCTATTTGTTGGGGGGGGGGAAGACATCTATGTTTATAAACGCATCCACTAGCTCTGGAATCATACATAAGAATCCTAACAGTGGGTACCACTGTTAGGGTGGGAGAGAGACTTACACTTTTACTGTATATTCTTTAGTACCTTTTGAATATTCTATCATGAGCATGAACTACCTACTTAAAAATATGAATATGTGTTTTTCTTTAAAAGAAAAGTGGTGTTTGGGTTATTAAATCTAATCATAAATTTTGCTTCCGAAAGTTAAGAACAATTTTAAAATTCGTATGCAATACGCATAAAGAAACTTAAAATTTTTTATAAACCTTGACCTTGTAATTCCAATTCTTGGAATCTTGCCTTAAATTTTATGAGTAAGGATGCTTATCAAAGGATTATTTGAGAGCAACAAAATTATAAGCAAGCTAAATGCCCCAAACCAGAATGATTAAATTATGGTATGACCACATTGGAGACTATTAAGCAGTTGTTAGACTTTTGTTATTGAAGACTTTTAGACTTTTAACGATATGGGGAAATATTTATATTATAATTTGTAATATAATGTGTAGTAATTTAAATTTTAGAAAAACTTTGCATAGAACCGAAGGTAAATGGAACAAAACGTTAACAGTGGTATGCTGGGTGTGGGATTACAGATGATTCTTTTCTTTTTTTAAAATGTTTCTACATTATCTACATTTTCTATGAGTGAGTATTTATTCCTTTTGTTGTCAGGAAGAAATCATTAAAAAGGAAAAACGGCTGCTTTTCTTAGAGCGTTTCTTGGAAGCATTTCTGCCTTCCAGAACCACCTTCATCAATCCTTTCTGGGCACAGGGGTGACAGAAAGACACAGACAATCACAAAAATGAATCAGTTTCGTCCTTTTCAACTTTCCACCTCAGTCCTAGAAGAGCAGGTTAAATTAAATTGCTTAAATTTTGTGCTTTAATAGTAGAAGTCAGAGCATTAGAAGCAAGGGAAAAAATATTTAACTTTTTTTAAATGGTAGAGAAATAAATATTTGAAAGATCAGCTACAAGGCTTAGAAACACAATGTGAACTCCTAATCTATTCATTTATTCACTTCTTCTGTGACTGTTTATTCGACTCTGGGGATTCCTACATTCTAGCAGACAGATGATAAACAACTATGCAAATAAGCTCAGAGAGTGGCAGGTACCATGAAGAACTAGAGCAGGAAGGTGTGATGGATTTCCTGGGAAGGAAACACTAGTTAGAGGAGTCAGGGACCATCCCTCTGAGGTGACTTCGGGGCTGAGAGCTAAATGACAAAGAGGCAATTGTGTGAAGGTCTGGGACAAGCATTCCAGACAGAGGGAACATAAGCTAAGTTGTCACTAGCTACTCAGAGGTTCTAAGTGCTTTAAATAACTGAGAGCTATATTACATTTACTGGAATTTACCCCTAAATATTGACTGAGCTCCTGTAAAAAACTCGGTGCCTTTGAATACTACAGAACTCAAAAGACATGTCCTCTTCCAGTAGTAACAGCGTTCAAAGGATGCAGCCATCTAACTCCACTTCCTCAGAAGTCCTCATTGTGAAGCTTTTTATGAATGTTTATTGTGCAGTCTGCACAGAGCAATGAGAGTTTTATCACCAGTAGAAACCATGGTTGTTTCTGAGATATAGGTGTCCCAGACCTCTGGAAACCTAAGCAGAGGGTATATGAGAGCCTTTGTTATCTGCTGTTGTCCAACAAACAAGACCAGCTACACTGCATCTCTAAGCTTCAGTTTTCTCATCAGTAAAGTAGGGATAATAAGGCACTGACTTCTCAGGGTTGTTGCGAGGATTAAATGAGATAATAGCATACATAAAGCACTTAGAATAGTCCAGCTTCTGTTGCTGTCATCAAACCAGAGGCCTGGTCCTGGGCTCCAAGTTCTTATACCAAGCTTTTCTATTTCACAAGAGGACTAAAAAACTGTATTCAACAATGCTTTCTGAAGAGCCCTACAGGGTGCCTGGCAAGCACACGCTAGAGCCAGTCCTTGCCGGTTGCTCCTAAGTGATGCACCTCAGCAGACTTCCTACAGCACCCTGGATGCGATGGTAAGTATCAATGGCTCGAGCATTTATATTGAGGCTCCCTCACGGACTAGTTCCCCTTCCCCGAGTGATGGCCCAATCATATGACCTAAACTAGCTTACCTCCCACACAGTGCTCAGCCAAGGGCTCGAAGAGGTCAAAGGTCGAAGTGGCTCCGTCAGACATGGTGATGAACTTCCGGTGCCCATACGGGTGTGGTGACCTCACCCTTCCCATCTTCCCATACAAGGCTGTTTGGATGTGTCCACTTTTCCCCCAGATCAAAGGTGGAATATATCTAAGAAAGAAGGAGAGGAGAGGTCAATTTTCCCACACTCCTTGAATAATGCTCTAAAAAAACTTTGGAGCAAGAGCTTTTCAACCTCTTTTTTTTTTCCTGACAAATTCTGTACACTAAGCACAAATATGAGATTTTTTAAACCTTATATCCATGCCATGATTTATCTCCTTTTCCCATTTATGCATCAGATTAGCTTTAGAAATCAACCAGGGCATGCTTATATAGACAGGATTTCAAATTTAAGGTGTTAATTAATTCAACATGGGTTATTTCCATAATAAATTAATTCAACACGGGTTATTTCCATAATGTAGAATAGAAAGAAAGCGACTAATACATTTTGAACACATGCTACTTGACAGGGTTAGCCTCATTATCAAATGAGCTAATGTATATAAAATAGCTAGCACGGCACCTATGCACACTAAATGCTCACTTCTTTGCCTTCCCCCAATAAGGCAGGCCACAGCTGCAGGGGTTACCCATGAACCAAACCTGCTGCCTTGTTAAACTGGGGAGGGCTGCAAAGCCTCCTAAGAGTCTGTTGAGTGCCTTGTGCATGTGTGTGTGTGTGTGTGTGTGTGTGTGTGTGTGTGTGTGCGCACGCTGGGGGGCACATTGTATGCTCTGGAGAATGTGCTAGAAGGGCAGGGCAATGTAAATATTTGTTGGATTAATGAAGGATAAAGTCTTGTTAGCATAAGCAAGGCATGATACCACCCTAACAACTGTCCTTCGTGAAAACACAGTGACTCTGGTCCTTGGTAGGAAGTGCAAAAATCACAAACTAGTTAATCACTGGGAAAACAAGGTGTTCCAAGTTACAATTAAGAAATTATTATAGTTCACAACCACAGGGCAAGATGATCCCATTTACTGAAACTGCTATTGGTTTCTCTTCTTCAGCTTTGAGCCCAAGCTTGATGCATGAGCAGGATTTGTGTTCTGTATTAAACTAGAGACATATAATATAAAATGGTAATGACATCAATCCTTCACCTCTGTATTATATCACAGTGGTGAACTTTTTATTAAGAATTTACCTTAACCTGCTTGCCGATTTGTGCCTATCATTTCTATCAGACCAGATGATCCCAGACCCTCTTCTTAAATTAAACCAGATTTACTCTCTGTTTTTGGCAATTCATTAAATCTACACAAATTTAAGAGAAGGGAAGTCATCACCTTAAGCAAGCCAGTTCCCAGATAAGCTTCCTCTCTGGGGGCAGGGAGGAGAAGGAAGAGTATTTTTTTTTTTTTTTTTTGCGGTACACGGGCCTCTCACTGTTGTGGCCTCTCCTGTTGCAGAGCACGGGCTCCAGACGCACAGGCTCAGCGGCCATGGCTCACGGGCCTAGCCGCTCCGCGGCATGTGGGATCTTCCTAGACCGGGGCACGAACCCGTGTCCCATGCATCGGCAGGCGGACTCTCAACCACTGCGCCACCAGGGAAGCCCAAGGAAGAGTATTTTTAAGACATATGGACATGAAACCACTTGCCAGCATCAACCACAGGTGCAAATCTCAGCGCAGAGACCACGGCCTTTAGAAAGCAGGCAAAGGCATTTTTAAGAGATAAGTGGATTATGACAGTAACAAAAAGCAAGCTTATAAAATAATGTCAATAGGACAGCTGAATACTATACAAGATTTAGATAACCGAATTTATAAAGGGTTTCAGACTACTAAGATGGACAATGAACTGTGCATATGGGGAGGGGAGTGGTCCAAGAAACCAAACTTCCGATTGTTCCTGGAGAAGTTCAGAGAAAATTTTGTTTACAATATAAATTAAAAAAAGAAATGTGCTGAGGTTAAAAATGTCAGAAGAATGGGTTAAATTTCATCTACTTATCCTCTGATCTCATTTAGAATATAATATAATCATAGAAAAGATGACAAAAGCATAAAATTTCCTTTTGGCTAGTCAGATTTCCTGTATAATCATGACACAGGTGATCAATCCTGATGCCATGCTCCAGATTCAAGGTCCTGTCACCGCCTCTGAATCTTGGCAATTGCCCCCCAAGTGGCCTTTCAGCCTCTAGTCTTGCTCCCATCGACTCTGGCATCCCCCCACCAGTGGAGGGATAACTAACACACAAACCTGGCCACGGCCCTCCATTGCTTGAGTCCTAGTAGCCTGGCTTAGGAGGTGCCACCTTGGTGCCTGCTTACCTCTTTTGCCTAAGTTTCAAAAAACCTGAACCACCATCCACTCAAGAGTCACTTCCAATCAGGTTTTTTGGGGAGCTCCCTGCCTCTGTGCCCCCTGGCAAAGCACCCTGCACACCCTAGCACCCACGAGGCTTGATTAAAATACACCTTTTTCAAGCACACTCCTCCCTGCCACCTGCAGGGCCTGGGCTCATTCTCCTTTATGTCTATCCTCAGGGCACTTGAAACACACGAAGCACATAGGGAGGACTTGAGGATGAACAGAATACAGACCCACTTAGTAAATCTGAAAAGACAAAGATATGCTTAAAAAATCGTATGCATCAGGATGATGTGAACTTGGCTGTGGCATGATTGGTGTTTGGCTGTTGTTCTCCTTCCAGGCTACTCAGCACCATTCTCAGACTGGGCTGGGATGAAATTCTCAAGCTGTTCCTGTGTGTGTGCATGCATGCGTGCATGGTGTGTGGACAGGTGACTGCCTGGGACTTTCTCAGTTCAGTGTAAGGTCAGTTGTACACAGTGGAAGTTTCACTGTCTATAATTTTATGACAATACCACCTACTGATGAAACACTTTTTAATTAACATCACGGTAACCCAACACCAGGGCTTACAAAATTGAGTTTTTGCATAGCATTTACTGTGGTGGAGCTTTATTGTGTTTTTGTTTGCTTGTCTTTATAACCGATCCACAGATCATAGGAAAAACATTAAGAAAGTGAAAACCAGGGCTTCCCTGGTGGTGCAGTGGTTGAGAGTCCGCCTGCCGATGCAGGGGATACGGGTTCGTGCCCCGGTCTGGAAGGATCCCACATGCCGCGGAGCGGCTGGGCCCATGAGCCATGGCCGCTGAGCCTGTGCGTCTGGTGCCTGTGCTCAGCAACGGGAGAGGCCACAACAGTGAGAGGCCCGCGTACCACAAAAAAAAATATTAAAAAAAAATGGTGTTTTGGCTACTTTGATAGGCAAAAAATGGGTATTATATTTCAATTTGTGTTTCTTAAGGTTGATCCAATCTATGGCAGAAAAAAAGTATCTTACTTGAATTTGCATTTCCTTGATTCATGTGTTTATTAGCAATTTGTACTTTTCTGTGAATTGTCTGTTCATATCCTTTGTCCATTTTTCTATTATAGTTTTCTTTTTCCTTTTTTATTTTTATCACTCCTACATTAAGTCATTATATATTATATTTTGCAAGGGTTTTCTCCAGTCTATTGTATATTTTAATTTTATTTTTCATCTTATATAGCTTTTTATATTTTGTGGTTAAATTTGTTAATTTTTTCTGTTAAAACCTTTGTGTTTTGCATTTTGCTTTAAAAGGGGCTATTCCAACACCCCATTATAAATATATTCAGCAATATTCCTTCTATTATTCCCATAGTTTTTAAAAATGTATTACCCTGAAGTCCACTTATTTTTGAAAATGATGTGAAGTAAAGATCTAATTCATCTTTAATCTAATTCAACTAGTTAGCTAATTGTCCTTACACCATAAATGGCCCATCCTTTCC